GAGGAGCGCACACAACGCAAAGACCCAGACATGAAGATTTAGGGGGGCACAAACGAAAACCACCATTGCTCAGCTCACCCAAGTCCTTACAATGGGCAGCATCATCCCACCAGGACGAGGAGGTGATGTTCCCAAAGCTACTTAAAACACAGCATGCAAGTGTCTCGGCGGCACGTCTCAGGTTTTCACAAGCTCTTACCTAACCGGCCTGATTTCACCACAGCTGTGGGTGATGAGAAGTCTGGCTGCACATGCAACACGGCTCTGAGGGGCGCAGGTCAGCACTGCTCCCCATCACCTCCCTCCCATGGCAGACCGTGCCCTGCTTGCCGGCCTTCTGCAACGCTGTGCCATAAGCAAAATTCTCTTCCCCTTGCTCACAAGCTGCGACTTTTCTGGAGGTTGCTGTGGTTTGAAAACTCCCAACTCTCACTGTTGCTGCACAGAAAAACCAGCAGAGCCAGAAATTACTACCAGAGCAGCAGTAATTTCCCGGTCTGGTTGGGTTAGCCAACACCGAGCAATGCCCACACATCTTTAGGCAGAACGAGGAAGAGTCACTATAGTGGGACATAACCTCTGTGATTGCAAGGGGACTTTGCTGGCAGATCTTACAGCCCAGAGATGTACATCTCACCCCACAAAGGTAATTTGTGAATGCTCTTCCACAACGGCTTTTTCTAGTGAGAAATACCCAGGGGTGTTCAGAGCTCCAGGAGAACAAGGGGAGCAAGGCCTGCCAGTGTGGCACTGACTGTTAGGAGACTCAGGAAAACCAGGAATGGGGGCCTGGCTGGTTTTCCAGAGGATGCAGGAAGGGAGAGTGAGATCTATTTCAGTCAACATCCCTACAGAGAAAGCCTGTTCTTTCCTCCAACAGATCCTCACAATCACACTCGGCCTGGAGACACAATTGTTAATATTAAGCCATCCTTACTGCCATACGGTACGCCTGCTATAACACAGCACAGACAAAAGTGCAGCAAAGCGAAGCTGTGAGAAACCAAAATGGCAAAAATAAAACCAGATTATCAAGATTTCAATTGTTAACTGAGTTCTGCAGAATGAACCACGACCCAAGGCCAGCAGACAGCATTTCTCTACACAATGGTCCATAAGCAGACTCACAAGCAACAGACACGGCAGTAGATGTGGAACCATCAGAGAACACACATGTGGGCAGCTTATCATTGCAGAAATCCCCAACTGTGTGTGTAAAAATGATACGAACACGCGGGCGCATTTCTGGAAGTCCACCTAAATAAAGCACTGTTAAAAAAACGTTTAACAAAGCACTGCCATGGACCTTATTTCAGATAATTGGATCAGTCCCACCTGATCAAGTGGCAGTTGGAACAAGCAACATTTCTGGGGAGTGGAAAAAAAGGAAGAAGTAACTGCAATTGTCTCTTTTTTATTAGCAAATGGACAGTATCTGGACATCTAAAGGAAGACAGCCCTTTCCAAAATTAACTCAATTGTTGTTGTCAATTACCTGCACCAGTCCCACACTTCAGTCTTTGTCTTTCATACAGGCAGAACCTTTGGGTAAACAAAGAGCACAGAAACACAAAAAGATACAATATATACAAGGTTTCCCACCAACTAAATGGACTTTGATTTTTGGAGATTAGCAACACTTTGTTCATTTGACTTTGCAAGTAATATGAAAACGTCCCAAGTTTTAAAATAAAAAAATACTACAATATTCACAATATAAAAAACTTAAATACATTTTTTTTTTTTTAAATTTAAAGGTCTGCTAACAGCTATTGATTAATCACAAATGTCTCTTTCAGCAGAAGCTCTATGCTGATGAAACATTGAGAATTTAAGGTTCACAAAGCAACATTCACATTCCACACCACTCCTGGTGAGAGATAAGACACCGCCGCTCTCAAGAGACAGTGCCACCAGAGACTCGTCCAGGAGTTCAACCCAAAGATGTCCCACTGCTTGGGTAGGGCAAGGTCACAGAACAGGGCAAATACCCCCATTCAGGGGGGCTGCCCCCTTCCTGAGAGCAAAAGTGCATGTCCAACGTCACCACCACATGCATGTCTTACCTAGTTGCCTGCATTCCTATCTAAAGCTCTTCAGTTCTCAGCTTGGCAGAGTGGAAATGACTAGGAGGTACGTGACACCTCTCCTCTGCTGTTCTGTCCCTGCTAACCTGCTCCTGTGTTTTATTAAATAGTTATCGAATAAAGTGACCGGAGAGAAAAAGCTCACGGGTTGGTCTCCTCTCTGGTGTAACTCTGCAGAGCGCAATGGATCCGCACCAACGGGGACCCTGCCCCGCCATGCAGAGCACACAAGCTTTAATGCAAACAGGGCAGATGAGAGCAAGGACCCACACAGAGGAAATTCAATCCACCCTTAGGCAATCTCATCCATGACGGAAAGAGATCATTAAGTGTGCTTGAAAGGCAAAGGAACCAAATTTTGCCTAGGAAACCCAGATTCTGTCATGGAATCCAGGTTTGGTTCTTTCATTTTCACTTCATCATTCAAAGGAAGCAGAAACTAGGGCAAACAACAGCTACAGTATTTATCTCTTTGGTAACTTCTGAAAAAGAGTCTCTGAGCAACGGGTACATCTTACAGTAATCATCATAAAAAGCCCCATAAGATCCTGTAGAAGTTTCACAGATTGGAAAAAACCTCCACATCTAGGGCATGAACTAGGAAAATAGCTTGCCCAAAATTAAAACAGGGCTTGTGGGAGGGTCAGAAAGACTGCACAGGAACTGGATCCCTCAGATTCCTACTCTAGCCACACAACAGTGCCTCAGTGAAAGTGGATCCCAGACATACAAGCTGAATCAGTAACCTCAAGTACAGACAGAAGGTCTGGAGTGCATTTCAGGGTATTTCTTTAAGGCAAAAATGGGTGAATACTAGCTGAGAGGACAGGCAGGCTTGGCAAATAGTCCAAAGGTGGACTGCGTAGCTGTAATATACTTTCACAGTCAAGTGGCTCCGTGGGTCAGTTTAAAGGGGATTTGGATTCCATCACTGCGAAAACTCAGCTGATACAGCAGGGGCTGAAAAGGCAGCAGAGAACCCAACTGCTCCTTCCAGCTGAAGACACGGTTTCCTCAGAACAAGCTGTCAACAGTCTCAAGGCAGAACAGGAAGACTTGCATTGCCACATCTTCTATTTTACCTATTCTTTCTCTGGAGTAACATCGTAATGGGATGACCCAGTCAGCATACAGACCAGAAGAACAATGAACAGGAAGTCCTGCGTGTCTGAAATTTCCAACGTGACTACACAACAAGAGGTTTGTCCAAAGTGATCTAATGCTGCAGTGAAGCACTGTTTCAGGGTTCAGCTCTCTCTTCCCTGCCTGAAAAACCTAACTACTCAGAGGCAGAAAACTGCACTACAAAAAGTATCCCATTACTGAGTCACCCACACACAGCTGTCACTAAAGCAGCTCGCCCAGAGCACATCAGAACTGTACACCTTCCTGAAATTTCTGCAACAACAACCAACTAGTTGCACGCAGTCTCCCCATATGAAAGACTGCCGATAGCCGCTAACTGAAGGCTGTGGTAATCTTGAAGTCCACCACAAAAGGATTATGCAACCGAAGCCTGCAAAGGAATGGGAAAAGAATAAGCTTTCTTCCAAACCAGCAACGGCACCCACCATAAGCAAAGAGTTTTTCAAAGTGGATCTCAAATAACTCTCAGGCCATGGATCCAATTCCAGAAAGTAAAGAGGCGGGAATTAACTAATCAGTAAGAAAACCTGAAAACAACCATTCCTGCCTTGGTTTTGCGTAGTCCAGACCACAGGCTGGTTTACATAACTCTTCTGTGATCATACTGCTTGCTGCTCTGTAAAGGGTTAAATTCTGATCTTACTCAGTGACTGCATCCTTTCAGCTGAGATAAATGGACTCCCAGGCAAAAGGACGACTGGGAAATACATCTGCCATGCTGTGACAACAACATGCCTCCAACTAGGCAGACTGCTTGAGGTCAGCTTTCACTTCCTCAGCCTTCTGCTTCTCTTGCTTTCTCACCACTGCTGCTAAAATTGGTTCAAGGGCACTTGAGACTTTTAGTAGAAAAGAATTTTCTCTTTCGGTCAAATCCCAAAAGGTTTATTATTTACTATGAACACGCAAAAGTAGCATCTGAACATGAACTGGAAGTTAGTGTTATTGGAGTAGCATTATCAGAGAGCTGAGAAAATAAAACTGTCCAGATTTCCTGCTTAAGGGCACATCTCCATTTTGCCTGCAACAACGTTTATCATGCTTGAAAGCTGCACAAACACCCATCAGGAACGAGAAATTACTCTCCTCTAAAATTTGTTTTTTGGTTGGAGAAAAAGGGATTTAATAACAGTTTTCTGGCTCCATCAAGAACCACTACTCCCTGTTCTACCTTTAGGAACAAGGAGGGAAGCTGAAAGTTTACCTGGAGAACAAATATTAATGTGTTAGTCTTGACCTAACAACTGAATTCTCTTTAAAACCTCAACTGTAGTACAACAGAGATTTCATTAATTCAGGACTGTTTTCCTGAAGTGATGTAAGAAAAAGCTGCCTCTAAATGTCATTTCAAGTGATCATCTTCACCTCCACCTGAGGGGTCTGAGGACAAGGGAAGACGCCAAAACCAGCCTGAAAATAATACTCAGCCCTTTGGGCTTTTCTTCTTCCAACTGTTTTACAAAGAAAAAGCCTCACCACGTCCCTGTGAGGTAGGTCAGTAAGTAATACTATGTTCCCTTATTACAGATATGGAGACTGAGGCAGAGAAGTTACTTTCCTAAAGGCCACGGCAGGAGTCTGTCTCAGAGATGGAACGGGGAGACAAGCTTCCTTAGCTCTCAGAGAATTTCCCTTTCTCTCCTGTATCTCCTCTCTTCCCCAGACAAGCCTTAATGGAGAAACGAGCAACAGAGAAAGGGGCTACAGTGCCACGTTTCTGACAAGTAGCAGGACTTCTAGTCCACATACTCCAAAAAGTATTATTAAATATACAAGTACCTTGGAATAATGGCAAAATGACCGCACACATTATAAAGAAGCCAACATACAATACAAACCAAGCTTAATAAATAAGGAAAGACATGCTGCTGCGGTTGCGGCTGAGTGCTAAGAAGTCCTCAGCTCAGTAAGGTCCCAGATGCCAACGGATAACCCCATGTCATTCCTGTGACTCCACCGCCACGCCAACGAGTGCATGTCTGATAGTGCGACCGTGGAGTTTGTAGCCATCCTGAGTCACCAGTGCTATCGTGCCCGGCTGCACTCCCTCAGCTGGTACGTGGCAGACTATTTCATGGTCATATGGATCGTATTTGCCACCAACAGGGTTCATCTTCTGAAGGCCGTGTTTGGCAAATACACTTTGCAATTTGGCCTCTATGAGAGAGAGGCCTTCGTAGATTTTCTTCAGGGTTGGACTTGGATTACTAGGCTCCGCTTCTTCTGCGGCACTCTCAGCAGTCTTCTCCAAGATATCTGCTACCTCCACAAGGTCCTTGCAGAAACTCTGGATCCCTACAGGCACAAAGAAGCAAGTAAATGAAGGGCAGTTTACAGAACATACAGAGCTACGGTACCAACGACAGGCACAAAGCCACAGCAGCTTGAAAGCACCTTTAAAGCTGCTAATTGAGTCACACTGTTACTTTAGTGAGAGCCGACTGTGTCTCTTCTGTATTCTGTAGCCAAAGCTTTAGCATTGCATGGGTAGTAATCTAGACACACCTATACACATCAACACATACATAAGCATATATATATACGCTATAATCTGACAAGGCAGAGCATTAGTATTTCACTCCAAAAAGTTCTTGTCATTTGGACAGTGTTCCATGCCCTCTCATACAGTCCCACAGACATAAATGTTTCGCCAAGCAACTCACACAGATGTCCATGTGCGTGGGGAACAAACACAATGAGGGGAAGTAAAAATAATACATGGCCATTCAAAAGTAGATCCATAATTTTATTTGTAAGTTAAAAACACCGTGGAAGGACTGGACAGAATGGACCTTGGGTTGGTCATGAAAAGTCACACAGTCTTTTTCATTAGCAAACAGGGGTTAGATTGTACACATTTCTGGAAGTGGTGTATTACACAGCACAGAAACTTCAGGAAAACCAGCCTCCCTCCGTTATACAGATGCCCTAAATAATTTACTGAAATGATCCATTAGGAAAACGGAGAAAGAAACAATAGTCAGCTGATGCCTATAGTGGTACTTACACATTTAAACATGCACAGAACAAAAGAAGCGTGAAGGAGAAGCAACAAAGGAGCAGACAGAAGCAAAGTGATTACCAAGCATTCCACATAATTACAGAATCATCTGGCAAAGACTTTTAAGATCATTGAATCCAACTGCAAACTTAACACTGCCAAGTCCACCACTAAACCATGCTTCTAAATACCACATCTACATGTCTTTCAAATACCTCCAGGAATGGTGATTGAACCACTTCCCTGGGCAGCCTGTCCCAATGCTTAACAACACTTTTAGTGAAGAATTTTTTCCTAATATCCACCCTAAACCTCCGCTGGTACAACTTAAGGCTGTTTCCTGATGTCTTACTACCAGTTACCTGGGCAAAGAAATCAACCCCCACCTCGCTACAACCTCCTTTCAGGTTTTCCTCTTGCAACAAAATCTGTTTTAATGCTCTACAGATCCCCATGCCTCGCTCCATGAGCAACTTCTAATAAAGAATCTACTTTTTCTTTAAATCTGAAGGACTCTACACATAAAATTCAATGAGCTCCAAAAAATTCTCTCAAAACCCGATTATTTCAGAACTCAATAGTAATTTTATAGCACAATGGGTAAAACATTAAGAAAAACACAGCAGCTTTAATTTCAAAGCTACTAGAATTAAGTAACAAAAAAACTTCCAAGATTCATTCATTGTGGAGAATAACAGTTCCTCGTTCTCGGAGATGGTGCTGACAGAGCGCAATGATTAAATAGCAGTTTCTTTCCCCTTCACCCGGCTCTGTTGTCAAAGCTACAAATTCAGCTTGCTTCCTTGATGCTAAAATATCTCTTACAGATGTTTTAAAGAACATCTGATACAGGAGGTGACAAGGCAGGATCTACCTTCCAAAACCTAGAGCAGAAGGGAGGGAGGCTCTTTATATAGCAAAGGAGATCACAATCTGATGACACAGCTAAGAGTATGAAATGCACCCTGCTAGAGCAAATTCTCAGCATGCAGAAGAGTCTGCGATTTCAACCAAAGTCAGCAGAATTACACTCAACTGCATTTATTTTATTTAGAAAAGAAAAATAATAAAATCATGAAACAGTCACTGACGTAAACCTGGTAAGACACAGCTGGACATACAGAAAAATTATCCTAGACACCAAGAGTCCAGGCCAAATATCATGCCAGACTTTACAACAAATGAGGGCAGGACAGGGGCAAAGAAAAGCTGTTGATCAGCACTTTACGCTCAGGCAGGCAGGCAGGCCATGGCAGTACACACAGTTCTGCCTCACTTTGCTTACCAAAGAGCTTGGCATCTTCCACAAACTTCTGCGTTCTCCTCCGGACATTCTCGGAATCTGCCAAGGCTTTCCGGTATCGCTCCTGTAACCACAATAGCATGGGGATTTGTCAAATAGGGAGGTAAAAAACATTTCCTGACAGCTGGCAATCCCTTAGAAACACTTTAAAAAGAGCCCACTTCATGTCAGAAGATTGTGATGGGCTCCTGCATTTTCATGACACACAAACCCAAGTTTCTCTCCTACCAATTAATCAGCACAACTGCAACTCCCTCAGAACCAAGTGAAGGCTAGAAGCATTTGGGTCGCAGCTCAGCTGAGCCCCCCACTGTCAGGCTGCTCCTTTTTGCATGATTGTCTGTGGCTAGTGAGATACTCTCTCGGCAGGTGAGCTGGCGGTCTCAGCAACAGATCTGCAACTGGCTGATTTATTGCTTCATGCAGCAGTACTCTCATGGCAACTATCTCCAGAACTGTCTGCCCAGTGCTGCGGTATTTAATCCTTTCCTTAGTCACATCAGTTCTTCAAAGTCCCTATAACATGATCCCTACAATTTCCACCAAACCACTGTCAGTCACTAAAGAGGACTTTCCTTCTCCAACAATCCAGATCTGGTGTGACACAGTACGTGATGCTACTCAGCATGAAGCTACTTTCATTCCCTCTGCGAAAGAACTGACCAGACCATCTCCAACATACACTTCTGCCTGCCAGGATCACACTATCAGTGTCTTGCTCCTGGGTTCTACTGACAGATGGTGTTTCTGGGGAAGGCAGATTGTAATTCCACTCTCAAACTCTTTGAGCGCAGCTGTTTCAAAGGCTGCCATGGCACAACAGCGTTGTGTGTCTGTTATGGGCTTACAGAAAAAGCTTGGACTGAAAGGTGCACTAAGTCAAGGGGACTGAATGGAAGACGACACAGTGCCACCAGCAGCATACTCACAGTTAAATCCCGGACTTGTTCTTCCAATTTGATGGCTTTGTGCTCCAAGGCGCAGTCAGAAAGAGGATGCTTGGGCTCATCCCGAGGATCTTCTGGGCCACACTCGTCTCCTGTACTTCTCTGCTGAGCTGCAGTGCTGAAAACACAGGGGGACCCCCTGAAATACAAACTGGTGACAAAGAAAGAAAGTTAAGTAACAACACGGTCAATAAGAATTCTAGTTTAGTGTCATTATTAAAAGCAAGTTCTCCTAAAAAGGTAGATAGGATTTTAGACAGAAATTTAGCTCATTTCAGAAAATACAAAGGAGCACAGGAACACAGGGACAGCTGGTTTGAAAACATTTTATTTTATTTTACATGTCACTACAGCAGCTATACAGCACTTATTTGACATACTTTGAAAACAATTAATTTTCTCATGAATGCAAGTTGTGGGTTGCATTTTTGCTGACTTGCCAGTAGATGTGGTCAATGCTGAATTACAAACCATTTTTACAGTAACTTAAAAAACCCCAAAATGTACTGAACATAATTAAGTAAAATCTGCAAATCCATGGCACTTAACAGGATAAGCACGCAGAGCCTAAGCTGCTACCTAAGGTGGTACAGCAACAGCAAAAGGACAAAGGCTTTGGATTTCAAGCTAGAAGAGGCATACACATCTCAGACTGCTGGCTAATGGAGGATTCAGTTCTCAGATGCTCTCACCCATTTGTTCTCTTGGGTGCAAAGAGACATAGTATTTGGTGTATTCAGTTTTCTTCCTGTTGAGTGAAGAGGAGGAGAGTTTGAACCTTTTTCCAGTCAGTTCTTACAAAGTAGAAATTGCTAGAGAGTACCCAGCCTTCAGTGCAAAGAGAATTATCAGAGACATGACCAAATTGTTTGCATCCCAAATATGCTGGATCCTTCTGCAAGCACCTTCACAGCTCCTCTGGCTGTGTCTGGAAATAGGACTGAACGTGCCAACTGAAAACCGTCCCTAATACTCTCCAACAGTTCTAAGCACTTAAGTTGTTTTTATCTCTCCTGGCAATGAAAGAGCCTCAAAGGCAAGAAAAAAATAAATCCAAACAAGCCCAAGCCTTAAGTGCTGAAGCCTACTTTATTTCCAATGATTCTTTCCATCGCAGGCATGCTTGCTTTTCAACTAAAAAGCTCAGCAGTCCGTGTTTCTTTTTGGTAGAGCAGGTTGAGCTCACCCAGAAGGATGACTCTGCAACTTACAGATGAAATGATGAAACAACCAAAGAGTCAGATAATTGGGCTGAGCTGTATAAACACTGCCCAGGTGTTTAGCAGCCTAGTCTGTACTGTAACAATCTCACAGGTTTCCACAAGAACTAGATGATAGAAGTCTAGCTGAAAACAATTTGGTCAGAAGAGGATCAAAACCAGCATGCTAGACACTTTGAGAAATAACTGTATTTTCACTTTCTTCTGTTCTTTTCCAGAAAGCCCTTCACCCGCGGTAACAGTGTCACTCCCTGTCACTTCCAGGGCGAAACCAAGATTTTCACAGCCCCTCCAACAACACTTGCTTTTACAAACTGACCTAGAGAGGACCCATTCCTGCCCGCACAAGGCCAAAGCCTTAGCCCATGTCCCTCTCAAGCCTTACACCAGGAACAGGATCTGCAGAACAAAGTTCCATTTCCTTCCAAATCAGCACCATTCAGGAAAAAAATCAGTATGCACTTAACAAGGAAGGGTGTCTCCTTTTTTGGAAGCACCTGGGTTCTTCCTCTGAGCAGGGCTTTCAACACCCCCTTCAACAGCGAGGTTTTTGCATACACTAAGAGCACATCTACCAAGTGAAACACAGCACGGCACAGAAATCGCCACACTGGCACTGGACTCAAACTTCTGTGTTTACACAGCACAATTCAACACTGCACAGACATGCTAATTTAGGCCCCAGAATCGGTATCGCTGAGTTCATGTTACCAGGCCTGCACCATTAAGCTTTCTTATTTATCAGCAAGGCTATGTTGCTCGGGTATAATGTCGCAGAAGTGCACAGCTTCTGTTTCTGGGCCTATCAAATCAGTCACGAGACCTAAGCGTTGTTCAGTGACCCAGCTAAGCTGAGCTTACAGCGGCAACTGGAAGGGACACGTTTGCTCCCCTGGCTCCAGTACTAGAGCTGTGCAGAATGAAGGTTCAGGGAGTTAAACCAGCTCAAAACTAACCCTATAATACAAAAAGACTTTTTTGTCTGTGTTTCTGAATAGGTTTGCTGACGGATCAGATGAGTGCAAGTGCCAGCACAAAAGAAAAGACAAATATGTGAAGCCTGGTGAGATGTGGGAGGGCAAATGCGGGGAAGGGAAGAGGTGTCCCCCCTTGAGTGGCAGCCAGGGCTTGGAGTGGCTCAGCTCTATGACCAAAACGCAGTTTAAGAGATTTGTATCTGCCCAAAGACCATCAAGCATCTCCTACCACTCCCCGCTTAGCAACCCACAGTTCCCTCATTTTATCTTTAATACACGGTTGCTAAATGTCCCACAACAGTGATCACAAACTTCCTTTTCCCACCTGAAAACACCTGCATATGCGTTGGTTTTTTTGAGTACTTAAAACACCATCTGTATGCCAAATCACTCCTTTTCAACACCTTACACGCCAAACACAAGTATGAAAGTGCTTCTGCTATGTCCACTTGCTCTAGGATACGATGTTCCTCACACTAATCTTCTAAAGAACCAGCCAAGTGACTGTCACGAGGCTCTCTTCAAGAAGGTACCCAGCCACTGTGGTTCTGGGTTCCATGAATGCCAACACAGAAGAAACACCCACATTTTATCCCTGGCTGAAGAGAGACCTGTCTGGGGCATAAGATCCCATCTTGAATTATTTTTAAGATGCTTGTCATATTTCTTTTGTTGAATAGGTAACACAGCACTTTTTCAAAGTTATGGGAAGTAGACTAAACTGAAGTTGAGGACAGAGAAGGACCCCTTTCACCAAGTCTTCAAAATCAGTTGTGAAGCTTTAAAGAAGTGTAAAGCTTTTTTTGTAAATAAAAGGTGTGTCCACGGTAAGCACCAACTACAAGCTTTGCACTGTATCATCTCACATTTCATTTAAAGAGCAGCAGGGATGAAAATCAGCCATGCTACAGATGAACTGAAGAACCTGAAAAGCAGCTGAGAAAGCAGCCTTGCTAGGCACCTCTCAGGTTAGACTCCTGTGTCTTGAAAAAGCTATACAAATGAGTTAACTCCCTCACATCCATAAAGCAAAGGCCAGTGAGTCATTTACCTCTGCAAGTGATGTGAACTACACAAATGGGTGTGTTTTGGTGTGTAGGAGGAGAGGGGCATGAATGAGCTGGTGCCTGAGCTACAGGGACCTGCCTACGTGAAGCAGCGAGCTGCCTGCATGGACTCCTTCCTCCGGTTTGTGAAACTGAGTTGCAGAACACTCCCCCGTGCAGTGAAATGTCCTGGCTATCATGTGCTGTTCAGATGAGCCTGCTCTAAAAGTTGCAGGCAAGAAACCAGAACCACAGACTGCCTCCAAAGGGAATTCCTAAGGGCTATTATGCAGAACTGAAAATGCTGCTCATTTTACTTCTTCCTTCAGGATGAAAGGAACACTCCACTAAAAAGGGCAAGTGCTGTTTACAGTCTGTTCACTGCACTGTGCTCCATCTTCTAAACACAGTTGTGATGACAGCTGCCCTAAAAATAGGCAGAAATCCCACTGGAGGAAGCTGACACATCCTGAAGTAACAGACACGTGGAAGTCTCCAAGCGTGTGAAGGGATTATACAACTATGCTGGTGATATGAAAAGATTTACAAACTGATGTCACAGAAAGCCAAACAGATAGATGTTGCAGAGAAGTTGATGGTAGCCGTATGGTTTAAACCAGTCGTTCTTAAAGATTCAAATTAAAAATTACGAGAACAGGTCTCTCTAGTCAGAAAAATAGTATCAGCTCCTTGTGGAGCACAGACATGACACTGAACATCATCCCAAAGCACCTCGTGTTCTCTCTGACTGCAAGGGTCCTACCCCTTTTCTCCTCCTCCTGAATCAACGTGACAAAGCGCAGGAGAGCTGAGCCACACAGAAACATCTGCATTGGCACTTTAGCTCCAACAAGCACGCTCTGGGAGAGAACCTCCTCATCACCCCCACTCACCGAGCTGTTTCATCAAGGGAGCAACACCAACGATTAATACTACGTGGATCCCGCTTCCACAAAAACTCAGGCAGCTTGGCTAAGGATGGCTGTAAACGGGCCAGTACCCTCCACGGCTACCACGAGTCCTGGGCTAGAAGCCCCCAGAGCCCCATGTGGGCCCCAACACACACAGGACTTGGCCGCAGAAGAGGGCCGCGCGAGCCGGGAAGGCCTTTCGGAGACGCGTCTTGACGTTCGCTCCCAAACGCGGGCGCCTCTATTGTGTGCGGCAGAATTACCTTGTCGCGTTTGGGGGAGACACGCACAACCCCGCGGCCACCGTGGGAC